TAAAATTATTTCGCGTTGTTTTTTACATTTGATGCGATTACGTAACTGAATTTTAATATAAAATTTGTGGATAATATTGAAACAAATGATAAAATAAATCGAGCAGTGCACTCGCCGATAAATTCAATTGGTTTCGACGCAGAAAACTAGTCATCAGTTGAATGATGACTGGGAACCACCTAATGGGTAGTGTACGAAATAAAGTGTTCAACATGAAAATTATATGTTTTCTAATGTTGAAATTGACGGCCGTATTGAAGCTCTGCGTCTCGGTTCAAATTAAGGAATTAAATGCAATAATTGAAAACGCAATTAAGTTGAATGTTCATATTAAATATTTTGATTGGTTTGGACAGCTTGGCCAACAATCAAATTTCTAATCGTATGATCTAAGTCAGACAGGCAGGCAGGCAGGCAGGCCATTCAAAGCCGATGATTTTCCCACCTCATTACTGTGAAACGAGAGAACAACAAATTGATCAACCAAAATGATAAAAAAAGAGTTATTAATTGGAAACAGGAAAGAGAGGAAAAAACCGTAGTGTATTGTACCCTCTAGATAATTTTTCAGAGCTACTGTTATTTTGATATTTTATAAATTTTTACGTTCATTTCTTTTTTCTCTCTCTTTTCAACGATAACAATAGCAACATCGTCGAAATATTCTTTGCCCAACTTTAAATTGTTGTAAAAAGTATGTATACGAAGTAGTGGAAGGTAGCAACGAATAGACAGTGATGAGAAAAACAAACTTTGAAAAAAAAATGAACAACAGCAACAACAACAATTAAACGCCGATTGAAATTGTACCTTTCAAGAGAGAATGGGAAAAGCAATTGTCGAAAATAATAATTAGAAAGCAGATTCGTTTCTATGGACCAAAGGACATAAATAGAAGTCAAAGAAGCGAAAATCAATTGAAGCGAAATCATTATAAATCCACTGAAAAAAAAGAAACAAACCCATTAAACGATATGACTGGATTGGTTGTGGGACAGGGTTTTCTTCATTCAAAATATTCGTTCACATGAACGATCGACAGTTCAAAAATTGGAGCCAATCACATTGTAAAGGGGTTTTTGAGAAAATGGTGTCGAAAGAAAAAGTGAAGATTCAACAAGTTAATATACAAATCCAAACCGACCAATATGTTACGTACATACATCATTATTTACTTTAAATGAAGAATTATTGGTTTTCCATCGACTTTTATACACACTCTTTGATTTCTTCATTCCCATTGGTTTACCCATACGAATTCCAATTTCACAGTTGAAGAAATGACGATGACGATGAAGTGCAATGAATTGAGAAGGGCGAGAAAACGTTTTGTTTTGACGGTAATTATTTTCAATGTCTTTTTTGTACGTGTTTTTTTGAACACCGGAAGAACAAAAAATGACACGTTCAATTCATTATCTATTCCCACATGTCTATCTATTCGCGCGAGAAAAAACAACCATTTTAGGATGATCGAAAATAAACAGAGATCAACGAAAAATAGGTCTTCAACAATTATGTGTTACAAATGTTGAACAAAATAGAATATGTTGCATTGTTTCTTCTTCGTTTTTCTTCTTTTTTGTGTTGTTGCGTTCAATCAGGTCATAATTTTATTAAAGGATATTGCGCATTATTTCTTTCTATGGACCGGAAGATACCACTTGAATTGGTTCCCAACATTGATTTGGGATCGATTTGGGATGTTTACTCGTATTGTCGGAGGAGAAAAAAAATGAAGTGAAAGCAAAAAGAATAATACATGCTCGGACATAAATCACTGACAATTACTTTCTATGCTCTATAGAAGTGATTACAATGGTTGAGCAAATTCGCACGGTTCAAATGCACTTTGTAGTGCACAGGATATTATGATTAGCAACAACACAAATCGTTTGTACTACTTTTGAAACGTCGTTTTGTGATCGGACTCGAGCATGAGAATCCAAAAAAGGATTCTATTGTTCGATCCATTTTGGAAAATCGAGAGAGAGAGAGAGAGAGAGAGAGAGAGAGAGAGAGAGAGAGAACACTCGTCAATGGCTTGATTTCGAATGTCCGTTTATAATTCATAGAAAAATGTGTTTTTTCTTCTTCGATAGATCGATTTAAATGGGCTGCAATGACTTGCAGAACTATGGATCAATCGTAATGGCTCATGAATCGAGCACAAGATTATACACATCTTCTCATAATCACTTGCACGCTTGATCCTTAATTCATTCCACTCACACGGGTCTCAAATAAAATAAAACATTGTAAATTGTAGTCATTCAGATGCAAACATGTATTTTGGTAGCTCGAATCCCAAAAATTACCGTATTGCTTTGAATCAATGATTACAACCATATAAATCACCGGGGATAATTTAACTAATCGAACTCGAAAACACACGTTTCTAAGATATATTTATATTTTCTAAATACATTTTCCGGAAAATATTTGACTTGCTTTGATTAAACTAACCTGGTAAAAGTAATTTCACCAATTCGATTGGTCTCACGATGTGGAATCAAATATTAAGTTTCGCTAACCTGCTGAAAAAAGAGAAATTTCTATGGAACACGCTGAATCAATTGTCAAACAACGCCATTGCAAGAGCCTGATCCAATTTTTCAGTTGTTCCAAGTACGGTGAGGGGGGGAAGTTTTTAGTCTTATACATATGGCAAAAGATGATGAAACAAATAGAAAAGCTGTTAAGAAGTTTCGATGTTTGCCTGAAAGAACGTCATATGAAAATTGTATTCTTGTGAAGACGGGCCAGACTGATTGCAAATAGCGATACCATTGATGATACATTTAATAAACTTTTATATTCGCCAACAAAATCAACGCAAAAGTTGCTAATATAGTTTCAATAGATTGTATTGATTCGATCACAATTGAAGGGAAGAAAAGCGTTCGATTTTATCTCTCCCCATTTTGTCAATGGATTGCTCTCTTGCAACAAACAAACACGCACACACATCGCGCTCACAACGAACAGAAAACTAGCAAAAATTGTGATTCCATTTTCGACTCGATCCATTTGCCATTATCATTGGAATTTGGCATTCTTTCTTTTCTTTCCCTTTCCCTTTCCCTTTCCCTTTCCCTTTTCCTTTCCTTTCCTTTCCTTATTCTTTTTCAATTCGAAATGAAAAAAAAAATGGAAAAAAGAGCGATGACAACAGCCAACAGTTTCCATGACCGAATGTATACATACAAATGAAGAAAACCTTTTTATTTATTCCGTACGTACGTACGTTCGACTCGTATCTTTACATTTCTTCTTCTTCTTCGAAACGTACGTACTTTGTATATGGTTCGGTTTCGATTCGCGCACCACATCAGAACAATCAGAAAAATAGTCAACAATAGGCTATTGTTGCCTTTTTCCGTATGTATCAGAATATAGCAACTTGTGTCACGCGGGAAAGTGCAATAATCAAAATTTCATTTCAATTAACGAATCTCAATTTCGGTAACAAAAAAAAAACACAATTTTTTTTCAATATGAACAAAGTCAACAGAAATATTTACTTTCTGTTCTCAAATCTTCAAGTTAAATTGAATGTAAAACTTGTGTATATAAAACAGAACCAATAGGCTCGAGAGAGTATTGATTTAGGTTTAAAATCGAATATATCAAGAAAAATTGATATGCTGCATAGTACATTCTGATCACACTTCGGTTAATTGAAACAAATCGCATTGACAGTTCAATAACAAAGATAGAGCAGGTACAAAAAAGGCAATGATAGAAATATTTAAATTGGATAGTATGTTGAACTTTCATATGCACGAAGTCACAGTATCGAAAAGTTACAGGTGCAGTCGAATAGCGAAATGACGGCAACGACAGCATTAAAACTAATAATGTTACAAATTACGATGGAAAATAAAATGGAAATAGTACTTGTCTGTTAAGTGCACAGCTAGGTGATTGCAAACCAACGTTTCATATTATCGTTGAAATGCCTGCAAGTTCATGCGCTGAAATAGAAATTACTTCACCAATGTAACCATTTTCCTTTGCTAAGTGCTCTTTCAGAAATATATTCTTGACCATTATCCATCAGTCTGTTTTGATACAATTTTTGAGCGGTATAAATAAATATCGAATTTATCCAGTTGCAGGGGTTAGAATGAGAAAATGAAAAAGTTTCGGTTCGTTGGAAATGAAATGCACAACAGGGGGCAGCACACAACTTCTATATCTTACTTATCGTATTTATCAACAGGTGGCTTCGTTTGAATATCAAAGCTCATATTTTTTAGTTGCATTCCAAAATTTCCAGAAATTGTTACATTTAGTGGTGAATTTCAGTCATGATAATATTTTTTTTAATATTGGCCTGATACTATCCAACTCAAAAATTCACCTCAAAAAATACAGAAAAACAACGAAGTTCAAGAATTCCATAAAATCAACAAATCACACTTATCTGAACCACTATAACACATGTCTCTTTCTTACATTTTATTGGTAAAATTCAGTTACTACGTGAAGAGAAAAAACTTTGATGCTCTCTAAATTGATACATGCTTTTCATTTCCATAACAAGAATTTCTGAAAAATATCAACCATATTGATAAATCAAATACTAGAATGATTTATAATAAATCTTTAATTTACTCATTCCAGTTTCAGCTTTCCAAGACCCGTGTGCAAATAAAATGACTAACATTCACTCAGTTGTATGTAACTGTATCTAGTGATACACAACTAAAACTGGCTAAGTTGATTGAAATCATACGTTTTGTATGGAGACAATCACGTTTAGTTATTCTTTCAGTCAGTCGACTAATTTGGGACATTTTGACTAAGAGTGATTTGTGATTAAAGTTAACTGCAGTTGCTTATTTTGTTCGAGACAATCACTTTTAGTCAGTCAAAATGTCCCAAATTAATCGACTGAATAGTCAGTCAAAAATTTTCCACACGGGGAGTAATCGAAAGCAACTACAAGACTTAGAAAGTGGCTACGATTGCGATTGAAAAAAATATTTTCAAAATTCATGATTTAATTTTCATTTATTATATTTCATAACATTAATATTGAATAATTGTATATAATTAGAAAAAAGTAATAATCATCAGCAAAAACTGAGAAAGAACTATCACTCATAATTTTTCATTCAGCGGTCCATTTCATGATTTTTTTTCCATCTCATTTTAAAAAAGTGGGAACAGATTTATCTTTTTTTAACAATTCTAAATATTTTTTTCTTTCTCTTTACTCGCTTTGTTTCTCGAATGTCTTAATTTGTATGCCTTAACATTTGTTTTCATCGTCCTTCTACATCCATCGAGTTCTCACAGTTTCATCTCTACGCGATTGGTTGTTTTTTTTTCTGTTCGCGTACATTCATCACATACGCTGAAGGGCTACGATATTGAATGAATTATCATTTGTGAAAAATGAAATCGATTGGCTATGATTTCGTTTGCTGTGAGTGTCCCGCATTTTGTCCGGCTGCAGTACCATCATCTTCTACTTCAAACGCATCCGATGGTTTCTTTGTAATATCGTTGGGGTTCTCCGCTGGGTCAGTCAGCTTATTTAAGTTTTGTGAATTCGCTGGTGATTGTTCTATGTCGCAATCATTTTCTTCATCTGGATGCGATTTCTGCATCGTTGTCTGAGGTGATTTTATGGGGACCACGGTCGATTTTACAGCATCATTATCGGTCAAATAAGTCAATTCGTTCTCGGTCCGTGCATTACTAGGTGCGGTACTCCGATAAACTATTGTTTCCATGTCGCTAGTGTTTGGTTTGCTTAATTTGCTATCCTTATCATTGGCTATTATTTGTTTATCACTATTACTAATGGTAGAATCATGTTCCAAACTCGTACTATTGGTATTGGTCACAATTGGTTCTTTGCTTAACGCTATAACATTGTCTGGGCTCTCAACAGATTTTGGATTGGCACTGTGCGTCTGTATACTGTTCACATTGGCCTCCTTGTCATCGATGTTCATGACAATTGTATCGCTCACTGGCGGCTGATACGATTCATATGACGAATATCGCCCCGACAGATCTTTCACTTCGTTCAAACGCTCCTGGCATCCATTGTTTAATTCATCGTTGATAAAGTGTATTGATTTCAACTTATTATCACTACTTGAATGAAATTTTCGCGGTGAAATTTGTTCAAGATTGAATTTGGCTTGTGGTGCATCGGATGTAACGCTTAGTTTCATTGGTTCACTGCGAGTCTCGTTATTGGTAACTAGATTACTTTTTACTTTTTCGATTGAAATGCTATATGTACAGTCGGCCATGGCATCCTTGTGTGATGCAGCGGCCAATTTCGGTGCTCTATCGCGCATGGCAAACACTTGATCGGCCGATGTCGGTAATGATTCATTAAAATGACTATTGTTACTATTACTATGATTTGAACTGTTGCGGTTGCTTGAGCTATTTGTATGCTTCTCGCTACTGATATTATACGGTTCGTGCGCTGGCGGAGCGATCGATGTGGATGCGTTATGCTTTTTTGCGTTTTGATACTTGTGTGGTGGAACGTAGTGTTTAGGTAAAGCAGCTGAAACTGAGGGAATGTTTGAAGAGCTATGGGCTGGCGAAGGAGCTGTTGACCGTGATTTTGATGCACTTTCATGTGCTATGGGCGACGGTGCAGTATTGTTTCGGTTATGTGACAGATTCAACGAACTCACTGATGTGACCGATGCGTTCGGTGACGAGGTATGTGGTAAATTGTAGGCGCTCGGAATTTGAGAGTTATGATTAAGCGAAGAGAAGCCAGCCATCGCAGCAAATTGCCCGAACGAATGTTGCATATGTGGAGGTAGACTGTGGTGCACTGCTCCTGGTGGAAAGCCCAGCCCCAAGCCAAGACTATGTGGTGATCGCTGTGAGACGGCACCGGGAAACTGTGACATTCCTTGTAGAAATAAATTACGCTGAACTTCCGCAGCGTACATTTGGGCAAATTGGCGGTCACGCTCTTCCTTTTCTAGCAATTCACGTTTTTCTTTCTCCCGTTGCTCTTTTTCACGCAATTCACGTTCACGTTGTTCACTGGCGATTTCAATGAGATTTTGTTTATGGTCAAAAATCGGGAATTTCAAAAACAACTGGAAATATTTCGTGAATAAATTCTTACCGTTCGCGTTGTTCTCTTTCTTTACGCTCTTTCTCGCGCTGTGCTTCTTTTGCGCGTTGGATCTCTTTTTGCCTCTCTTGCTCTCTCCTGAGCTCTTCCTCACGCAGTAAACGCAGTCGTTGTTCTTCTTCTACCATTTTCATCATTCCGGGAATCATGCCAGGCAACGATGAATTCGGTAGTAGTGTATTGTATAGCTGAGCGTATGATGGAAAATGTGGGTACATGGGCGCTGCGTGTGGATGATGACCGACGGCCGATCGAAAGGAATTTTGAAAGCGTGGATCCATGAATTCTGAGTAGGCAAATGCTGCCGGATTGAAGAGTTGTCCGCCTATGCACGATTTTCAAATAAGAAAAAAGGATTACTATTGATTTGATTCAATTTGAGTGATCATGAATACCAAAGTAACACACACCTGCTTGTAAAGGCATTGTGTTAAATGGCGGAAAAACATCTAATGGAGGATAAACACCTGCGGCAGCCGTACGTTCGTCTGGTCGATATGGTTGAAAGCCACTTCGTGCTAAAGCCTCTGGTTGATGTGCTCTCACATTGGTACCCATTCGAGCCATCTAATTACAAATAGCAAATTGACATTTAGTAAAGTGTTATTAGCAAATACAATAAAAATTCGATGAATGTTCGCGTAGTTAAAAATGAACCTTTTCCGGTGGTGGTGAGCTCGCTTTCTTTCTATGCTGCTCTGTATCAGAAACTACAACAACATTTTCAGTATTCCTATTTTCAGTATTGGTGCCGCCACCGCCACCGCTGAACCGTTGATGTAGATTTATAGGGTTTGCACTATTACTACCACTGGTACCAGCACTGACTGCCCGTTGATCGACTGGTTCGTCATCCTTTACGTCAGCTTGCTTGGCTAAACTCCTAAGCGCCGAAGCAAATGGTCCTCTTCCACCGTTATTGGATGAAGGCATCTAAGTGAAGGCATATTATTATTAATTATTTCGATCAATTATTCCAACATTATCACGAAGAATGGACAAACACTTACATTCGAATGATGCGCAGAAGGTTGAGTGGTTTGACCGGGTTGAACATGCATCACTGGTGCTGGACTCGTTGCGGGACGTTTCTGGGCCGATCGCACTGTGCCTGTGCCTGTGCCTGTGCCTGTGCCTGTGCCTGTGCCTGTG